GGTTACTTAATATTTTATTGCTTTATTAGTTCCCTAGGTAGAATAGACTTAGATCTAGTTGGTGCCTATATAAAGGCCCCTTCCCCCATGTTATTTTTATTCATTCAGTTATTCAAGACATCAATAGAAATCTAGAACTTTGTTCTTCCAACTTTGCTTTAGTCTTTTCACCAGAATACTATTGCAATTTTATTCGTTCCAAGAGGCGCTGTTGTGGCTCGAAGAACACTATCGGCGATTCAAGGCGCGGGTTAGCGGCTTATCGGCAGTCGAAACACACGATCCTCATCATTGTTGCTTTCATTGAGAGGTGTTGATCGTGTGTTTTTCTTCTACCCCCTTCCATTTCTTTTTCTTTTCGTTTTTTTTCGTCCCCCTCTTCAAAAAAAAACAAAAATATATATATATATATATACATAAATATTTTCATCCATCATCATCATCATCATCATCTCAACCACGAGTCCTCAAAGCAAAGAGCGGAGAGAAGTAAGAAAAGCCATGGCCAACAAAGAGATGAAGGATAAGATCGATAACCTTGACATCCAGATGCGAAGTATGAGCGAGGTCATGGAGGGAAGGCTTGGATCGCTTGACGAAAGTCAAAACAACACCAACGCTGTTGTTACACGACTCGAACAACGATTGGAGGAAGTCCTGCGTGCGATCCAGCAGCAACCCCCACATCATCGTGACGATCCCCCAAGGCGCGAACCGCGCCGGCACGCTGAGCATGCCGATCGCACACCATCCCCACGGCACGAGGATCGACGCGAGCAACAACGCGTGCGTAAACAGGACGAGGACCGGCAACGCGAGGATTACAAGCACGAGGAGGAGTTCGACCAACGATCGCAGGCATCCACCTATCGTGAACGGCCGAAGCCAGACAAGCCGAGGTTCGTAATGTCCATCTTCACAGGTAGTGATCCAGAGGCTTGGCTCAACCGTATTGCACAATATTTTGAACTGAATGAAACAGAAGGCCACGATCGAGTAAGGTACGCAGCATTCTATTTGGATGGAGAGGCCAACGTATGGTAGCAATGGCTCTCAAGGATCTACCGTAGGCGGCAACAGGTCATTACATGGGCTGACTTTGAGAGAGAATTGCTCACACGTTTTGGTACGTCTGATTACAGACCGGCAACTTGCGTGAATATATTAAGGAATTCGAACGTTTAGCATGCCGCGTGCGAGATTGGCCTGAAGACGCATTGGTGGGAGCGTTCATCGGCGGCCTAAAGTTTGATCTAGCTGCTGAGGTGCGCTTAGAGCGTCCCGAGACAATGCATACGGCTATGGAAGTGGCCCGACGCCGAGAAGATCATTTTGTGGCAACTCGAAGGGGACGGGCGGATGCATGCTACCCCGAGACGCGACGCGCACAATCGAACGCAAGCAATATGTTTCCGAGTGGCCGACCACCCGATAGTTCTCGACCACCAGTCCCGGAGGTTAAGAGACTGTCGCCCGAGGAAATAAAGCACCGACGTGAGAAGGGACTCTGTTTCAAGTGCGACGAGAAGTTTACACCTGGCCATCACTGCAAGCAGGCTTTTGTGATCCACGTCATGGATGATGAAGAGCCCGAGAGCATGGAGGATTGGGAGCAAGAAGCCAAGATTGGGGTTCCCGAAGAGGAGGCCGAAATCTCGATGCATGCGATGGCTGGTATAAAAGGACCAACGAAGATGCGGCTGCCGGCGTTGGTCAAGGACCATCATGTAGTCGTGCTAGTAGACAACAGATCGTCGCACAACTTCATCAATGCCGATCTATCTAGAAAGTTGAAGTTGCCAACGATGAAGGTCGAACCATTTGAGGTTCGAGTAGCCAATGGAGAACAGCTAAAGTGCTCGGAGGCTTACCATGCGATACCGATAAAATTCCAAGGAGTCACCATCAAAGCTGATCTCTATGCGCTACCCTTGGTTGGACCCGACGTTGTGTTAGGAGTACAATGGCTCGAAGGTTTAGGAAAGGTGACCACCGACTACCGGATGGGAGTCATGGAGTTCAACTCTGGAGAGTTCCGGGTCACGTTAAAAGCAAGCAAAGATAGCAGAGCCAAGGAGTTTGGTCTCAAGAGTATTGAGCGGGTTTGGCATTGGGGCGGTCAGATTTTTACCGTCGAGGAAGTAGGCGCATACGCGAGCATGGTCAAGCATGTCTCGACGGAATATGATGGCCCACCTATCTTCGACGTGTACCCCGAGGATGAACTCATGGACGACGAAGTAGTCGAGGAAGCTGAGATCAAGGAAACCGAGGTCAAAGGCGAGGTGCCCGAGATTTGGACGATCGAGCAGCAGCAATTCATGAAACGCGAGTTGGTTAGAGCATCCGACCACGTATTAGGCGAGTCAGACAAGGAAGAAGGCAGTGACAACGCAAAGTGTAAGGAGCCTATCCTTATGTTCGAATTCTCAAAATATTTTAAGGACCCAAAGGTCGACGAGTACATAAAGGAATCAACGGGTTATGAAGGACCGGCTATCTTCGATGTATATCCCGATGAG